TCATGGCTGTTATTCGTAAAAAATTGATTTATACGGTAATTCAAGAAACTTTTAGTGAAGCGGATAAGAATCCTTATCTTAATTACGACTTAACCAATCAACAGAAATTATTAGATAAAATAATTTTTGCTAATAAATCTCTTACAAAAGACGAAAAAGCAGAAACAGTAAGAATAATAACTGAGAGTTACGATTATTTTAGAATCATTAGGAACGAAGGCGAAAGAAGAATTTGCGAAAATTGTCAACATGAATGTTTGGCCACATTTTATTGTGAAATATGTATTCGAAATTATTTAAAAGTATATTTTTCAGACTGGACATCCGGAAATGGTGATATAGATAATTTAATACGGAATTGTCAAATGGAAACAATTGCTCCAACTAGGATAATTGAATGGATACCATATAATAATTTTCGAAATATTAAGTACTTAACTAAAGGTGGATGCTCTAAGCATACCAAACCTTTTCAATTATTGTTTTTTAGAATCCCATTTATCATAAGGTCCATCAGTCCATTTTGCCGTATAAATCTTAGAGTGATACTTAAAAAGTTAGAAAATGTTGAAAGTGCAAATATGAGTTGGTTTGAGGAGGTAAAATATATTATTCTTTTAAAGTATTATCGATTATTTAATTTTTATGTAAATTAACTTTTTTTCAACAAAAAACTTTACAGGCCAAATCACATTTAGTAATAAGTAATAAAATTTCAGGCGTCATTAGATGTTTTGGTTTAACTACCAATCCAGAGGGGTATTATATGCTTTTATTACAGCAAATGGACATTGATTTAAGGAAATATTTACAACAAAATCATAATAAACTTACATGGAAAGAAAGAATTAACATAATTTGTGATATAATAAAAGCACTTTACGAAATTCATAGAGAGAAAGCAATTCATGAAGACTTACATTCCGGGAATATATTATATTTACAAAGTGCAAATTTATGGTGCATTTCTGATCTTGGATTTTGTGGACCTGCTGATAAATCACTGAATAGTATATGTCCTTATATAGCACCTGAGGTTATTAGTGGAAAAGCTCATAGTTTTGCATCTGATGTATATAGTATTGGTATGCTTATATGGGAAATTTCTTCCGGCAAACCACCATTTAATGATTATGAATATGATTATGATCTTGCAATGAAAATTATCAATGGAATTAGACCGAAAATGGTATCAGAAATTCCCTTAGAATATAAACAGTTAATAGAACAATGTTGGTATGCTGACCCATCAAAGAGACCTGATATAGATTATCTTCATAATAAAATATTTGAAATAAGAAATTTATATTATCAAAATGTCTATGATCAACTAACAGTTTATAAGTATAATACTAATTTATATCAGTTTTTTCCATCAAACGAAAGTATAATGCTTAAAACAAAGATAAATGATTATATTTCGGATTTAAACAATCATTCCCGGAAAAGTGGAAATGAAAAGATTGATAATTTTATTCAAGAAATGCAATTAAAGATAAATAAATATAATGATACAATATTTGAATGGATATTATATAATCAATTTGATAAAATTAAAGAAATAAATAAAAATGATTCTATTACAATATATTCAGCAATATGGAAGGATGGTCCATTATATAATAATCAGTATATTAATTATATAAGAGATTCAAATAAAAAAGTTACTTTAAAATATTTACATAACTCGCAAGATTCTATTGATTTTCTAATAAACGAGGTATAATATTTTTTAAATATTTCAAACACTATTTTTTTTAATTCAATATATTTATTATTTCTTTTTTTTACATTTTAGGCAACTAAATATTCAGAAATGGTCAATAAAATGATTTTTCAAATATATGGAATATCCCAAAATCCATATACACATGATTATATTTTGGTATTAGAAGATCTTATCTGGGCAAGTGGAAATGAAAAAATTGATAATTTTATTCAAGAAATGCAATCAAAGATAAATAAATATAATGATATAATACTTGAATGGATATTATATAATCAATTTGATGAAATTAAAAAAATAGATAAAAATGATTCTATCACAACATATTCAGCAATATGGAAGGATGGTCCATTATATTATAATAAAAAGTATAGTAACTATACAAGAAATTCAAATAAAAAAGTTACTTTAAAATATTTACATAACTCACAAAATTCCATTGATTTCCTAATAAATGAGGTAAAATATTCTTTTAAATATTTAACCAGTTTTTTTTTTAATTCAATATATTTATTATTTCCTTTATTTATATTTTAGGTAAATAAATATTCAAAAATTGTTAATAAAATGATTTTTCAAATATATGGAATATCCCAAAATCCATATACGAATGATTATATTTTTGTTTTAAACAATTATTTCTGGAAAAGTGGAAATAAAAAAATTGATAATTTCATTCAAAAAATGCAATTAAAAATAAAAGACTATAATGATATAGTATTTGAATGGATATTATATAATCAATTTGATAAAATTAAAGAAATAAGTAAAAATGGTTCTATTACAGTATATTCAGCAATATGGAAGGATGGTCCTTTATATTATAATAATCAGTATAGTAATTATACGAGGAATTCGAATAAACAAGTTGCTTTGAAATATTTTCATGACTCACAGAATTCCATTGATTATCTAATAAATGAGGTATAATATTTTTTAAAATATTTCAAACACTATTTTTTTTAATTCAAAATATATTTATTATTTCTTTGCCATATTTAGATGAAAAATTATTCAGAAATGGTTAATACAATGGTTTTTCAGATATATGGAATATCCCAAAATCCATATACGAATGATTATATTTTTGTTTTAAATAATTATTTCTGGAAAAGTGGAAATAAAAAAATTGACAATTTCATCCAAGAAATGCAATTAAAGATAAAAGACTATAATGATGTAGTATTTGAATGGATATCATATAATCAATTTGATGAAATTAAAGAAATAAGTAAAAATGATTCTATTACAATATATTCAGCAATATGGAAAGATGGTCCATTATATAATAATCAGTATATTAACTATATAAGAGATTCAAATAAAGAAGTTACTTTAAAATACTTACATAACTCACAAGATTCTATTGATTCCCTAATAAATGAGGTATAATATTTTTTAAATATTTCAAACACTATTTTTTTTAATTCAACATATTTATTATTTCTTTTGCTTACATTTTAGGCAACTAAATATTCAGAAATGGTTAATAAAATGGTTTTTCAAATATATGGAATATCTCAAAATCCATATACAAATAATTATATTTTAGTATTAAAAAATTTTATTTGGGCAAGTGGGAATGAAAAAATTGATAATTTTATTCAAGAAATGCAATTAAAGATAAATAAATATAATGATACAGTATTTGAATGGATATTATATAATCAATTTGATAAAATTAAAGAAATAAGTAAAAATGGTTCTATTACAGTATATTCAGCAATATGGAAGGATGGTCCTTTATATTATAATAATCAGTATAGTAATTATACGAGGAATTCGAATAAACAAGTTGCTTTGAAATATTTTCATGACTCACAGAATTCCATTGATTATCTAATAAATGAGGTATAATATTTTTTAAAATATTTCAAACACTATTTTTTTTAATTCAAAATATATTTATTATTTCTTTGCCATATTTAGATGAAAAATTATTCAGAAATGGTTAATACAATGGTTTTTCAGATATATGGAATATCCCAAAATCCATATACGAATGATTATATTTTTGTTTTAAATAATTATTTCTGGAAAAGTGGAAATAAAAAAATTGACAATTTCATCCAAGAAATGCAATTAAAGATAAAAGACTATAATGATGTAGTATTTGAATGGATATCATATAATCAATTTGATGAAATTAAAGAAATAAGTAAAAATGATTCTATTACAATATATTCAGCAATATGGAAAGATGGTCCATTATATAATAATCAGTATATTAACTATATAAGAGATTCAAATAAAGAAGTTACTTTAAAATACTTACATAACTCACAAGATTCTATTGATTCCCTAATAAATGAGGTATAATATTTTTTAAATATTTCAAACACTATTTTTTTTAATTCAACATATTTATTATTTCTTTTGCTTACATTTTAGGCAACTAAATATTCAGAAATGGTTAATAAAATGGTTTTTCAAATATATGGAATATCTCAAAATCCATATACAAATAATTATATTTTAGTATTAAAAAATTTTATTTGGGCAAGTGGGAATGAAAAAATTGATAATTTTATTCAAGAAATGCAATTAAAGATAAATAAATATAATGATACAATATTTGAATGGATATTATATAATCAATTTGATGAAATTAAAGAAATCAATAAAAATGATTCTATTACAATATATTCAGCAATATGGAAGGATGGTCCATTATATAATAATCAGTATATTAATTATATAAGAGATTCGAATAAAAAAGTTACTTTGAAATATTTACATAACTCACAAGATTCTATTGATTCCCTAATAAATGAGGTATAATATTTTTTAGATATTTCAAACACTATTTTTTTTTAATTCAGTATATTTATTATTTCTTTTATTTACATTTTAGGCAACTAAATATTCAGAAATGGTTAATAAAATGATTTTTCAAATATATGGAATATCCCAAAATCCATATACAAATGATTATATTTTTGTTTTAAATAATTATTTCTGGAAAAGTGGAAATAAAAAAATTGATAATTTCATTCAAAAAATGCAATTAAAGATAAATAACTATAATGATATAGTATTTGAATGGATATTATATAATCAATTTGATGAAATTAAAGAAATAAGTAAAAATGATTCTATTACAATGTATTCAGCAATATGGAAGGATGGTCCTTTATACTATAATTATCAGTATAGTAATTATACAAGAGATTCAAATAAAAGAATTGCTTTAAAATATTTACATAATTCAGAAGATTCAATTGATCTTCTAATAAATAAGGTACAAAATTTTACGAATATTTCTGCTATATATATTTTAATAAATATATTGATTTCTTTATTTGTATATTAGGCTAAAAAATATTCAGCAAAAGTATTTGGAAGAACAATTCGTGGTATATATGGAATATCTCAAAATCCAAATACAAATAATTATATTTTAGTTCTTGCATGGGCAAGCGGAAATAAAAAAATTGATAATTTTATACAAGAAATGCAATTAAAGATAAATGACTATGATGATATAGTATTTGAATGGATACCATATGACAGTCAGCTTAATAATATTAAGGAAATAGGTAAAGGTGGCTTCTCTACAGTATATTCAGCAATTTGGAAAGATGGCCCATTAGAGTATGATGCAGATAAAAATATATATACTAATAGGGATTCAAATAGAGTAATTGTCTTGAAATGTTTACATGATTCCCAAAACATTACTGATAAATTTTTAAATGAGGTATGAAATTTCTTTTTAAAAAAATCATTATAATAGAATAATTTTTATGAATTTAATTTATAAATTAAATTTAAGCAAATGTAATAATTATTGTTTGCTATTAATTTATTTTAATAGGTTAAAGAATACTCAATAAATAAAAGAAGTAATATTATTAATGTATATGGTTTATCTCAAAATCCACATACAAAAGACTATATTATGGTTCTTGATTATGCAAAAGATGGGAATTTTATTAAATGGACAAATGAAAATTACGAATATTTTAATTGGCAAGATAAATTATCTGCATTACTTAATATCATTAATGGCCTTAAAGAAATTCATCAAAAAAATGTAGTTCATCGTGATTTTCATACAGGTAATATATTATTTTTAAGTAGTATAGATGATTTTGGTAATTGTATATCAATCTCAGATATGGGATTATGTGGAGAAGTTGGTAATATAGATGAAACAAATATTTTTGGAGTTATGCCTTATGTGGCTCCTGAAGTATTAAGAGGAAAGTCTTATACTAAAGCAGCAGATATCTATAGTTTTGGTATGATTATGTATTTTGTAGCAACTGGAAGACAACCTTTTTACAATCGTGCACATGATAACTTATTAGCGTTAGATATTTGTAATGGAGGTAGACCTGAAATAAATGAACCAGAAGCACCAAGATTTTATATTGATTTGATGAAAAAGTGTTGGGATTTAAACCCAAAGAATAGACCAAACATTAATGAAGCGGATGAAGTGATTACATCATTGCATAAGTCATCTGGAGTGGATATTTTTATTGTAGAAAACGAAGAAATTGAAATGCAATTTAAAGAAGCAGAAGAATATAGAAAGGCAAATCTTTCATCCATTAAAAATTACCAAGCAGATACTCATCCGCAGGCTATTTACACATCTCGATTACTTAATCCTTTTACAAAAAATCTTTCACAATCATATAATGAAGATTATGAATCTGACCTTTTAGATTATGTAATCTAAATTAGGTTATAAATGAGTATTTTACAATACAAATTTTCTCATTAATTAAAAAAAATATGCTAACTTGATTTGATATTCTATCTTAAATATAATTGTTATTTTATAGGAAATTTGCATTTAAATTTTTTTTAATGTACGTGTGCGTGATGATCTGCTATATTTATCTAACATTATTATAAATAGATATGTAAGTTTTTATTTATAATAAATAGAATCAGTTTGTAACTCATTAAATTGAATAAAATATTTTTAAAATGCTTGGTCTGAATTGTAATAATTATTATATTTATTAATTGCAAATTAAACTTTCATTCCTTAATATTTAAAAATGCTGAATAGAAATAACATTTGAAAATTGTAAATGATGATTAAAGATGTTGATGATTAGTGTTATGATCCATCTCTATCACCGTAGATGCAGATTGACTTTATTATCATATATAGGTTAATTAGCTTGAGCAATCAAACTCAAACAGAATTTAATATTTCCCTATAAAAAATAAATGTCCAAAAATAGTCTAGAATAAATCTGGCATGTCCGAAAAACATCCAAAAAATGCCTATTTTTTGGTACAAATCTGTAACTCAAAATTTTGACATATCGGACTTTGTCCAGAATTTGTCCAATATTTGTCCAGCATAAAATTTTGGACAAATTCCAAGTTTATTAAAAAACAACATGAATAGTCATTTCGATCAACATCCCCTAAACCGAATATTAATTTCTTATTTTATCATGTAAATGATTCTTTTTTATTTTTATTTTAAATCACAAGGCAAATAATTAAGGCAAATCAAGTTTACAGTAAAAATTACAAAGACTCTATAAACAAGAACCTGTAAGTAACTATGCTAACTGAAACTAAAACTCGAACTGGCCCTTGCAAAATCAGGGAGTTTTCTCCTTGGTCGTTAAATGAACTGCACAGGATCAGGTAAACCATCTCCCGGACAGACACACCAAGGAATAAAAAATTAATGTGATTTAAATATATACATATAAAGAAAAGAGAGTGAAAAAGCCTTCTACAAGGAAACCCAGATGCAGAAAAATAAGATTAACATCTATATGTGAAAGAAATAAAACGGCTGCCACCAGCCGATTGACCATCATCACTCATCATCACGTAATAAAAAAAGAAAAGCTGGGAAGAGAAAGAGCCAGTAAAGGCGGAGCCACCGATGGTTGCCATAATGGATGTGTAGGTTGTTTCATCTCAAAATAAGTTGTCATAGCCATTCCAATTAAGTGCGGACAGCAGGTAGGCTGGGTAGAGCTAGCGAAGAGTAGTTGGGTCAAAAGTATTAAAAGTTGCGTTCAAGAGCCAAAGCTCTAAGTCACGTGGGTGTAGCTTGTAATATGAGTTGACCCTACAAGGGTTGAGGATACGTTAATTTGGCATGCGGAAAAACTCTTTCCCCTTTTTTCTATTTTGTTAGTTTTCCGCAGTAACTCTGCAAAGTTTGTTTTTTTTCGTTTCTATTTGAAACACCAAAGGGGAGGAGGCCCAAGAGGGCGCCTCAGTTCTATACGAGGTCTTGTTCTCTTAATATTACCTATACTTAAAAGGTTATTTTATTCTTTTTATATCAAGTCGAGATAAATTTTTCCCCAGTTTCGTACACATTTCTGAGCCATATTTACAGTTGGACTCACTCCAATAGCGGCATATAAATCTCCGAAGGTGGACTTGCTGAAAATATAGTATTAGATATGGATACACAACCACAGGATAATATACTCTCAACAATTATAACCAACGCTCCTTTGCTTTTCTCATTACCTTCGTCTTTCTCAACTTTCAAATTTTCGCTCAGTACCAAGAAAATCAACCCATACAAGGTTAGGGACACACGTGGATGTGGCACTCTGTATAACACTAAAAAAGGAAGATATTTCCTTATCGAGTTAGATAACTCCTCACATGTAGATCTAAGAAAGAAAAATTTTTTCAACGTCTGCACCAATGATATTCAATTGCCCGATGATCATCATAGGATCTTCAATTCAAACTGCAAAAAGCTCAATCTGAATTACCTTATAGGGACATACCTGACCTTCGTCTTTACCTTAAACAAACAATTCTCTCCTGCTATTGTAGATAAATATTTTTATCATTTACGCCAATTATTATTAGACAAAATATTGGCAGTTAAAAATAGAACTTCTTCCATATCAAATAAAAATAGACAAACAAAGACCTTTATTCGATTTTCTTCTGGGCCCCACGTGATTTACCTGGGGTACTACTTCGCCTGCGGATTTACAGAAAATAATAAATGTTGTCAACAACCAGCTGCTGTCGTACTTTCACACAATCGACAACAATATAATCAACATCTCCCTAAATTTATAATACATGGGAGATTCCGAACTGGTATATTACCTCAAAACCCTAGTTTTCTTGCCTATAATCGATATCAGACTCATAATCACGCAAAAGAAGTTCATTCAACACGACTTGGTATCTCATACAATGTTATCACTCGAAGATACAATGAATGGAGAGGAAAACAAGATTTTTATCTTAAAAATGTTATGGAACCACTATCTACTAAAACGAAGAAAGGTGTGAAGACCACACGCACGTTTTATAAAGAATATTATAACTTTGAGCTTGACGCTAACCGTACACAACAACAAATCAATCGGTGGAATCGCCTAAAATTTTCGAATTTTAAAGCGGAAAGATCCCTGGGTCAAGTCAGACCCTTCCTAATCAATGAACACTCACATGTGTACAAAAAAATTCAACATGCAGTTGAACGTTTTCCTCCATATAATAGAAAAAGCAAATTGGAAATTGAAAGCGATAAGATTATTCGCAAAAGGACCAAAAACTGGAAACGCCGTACCAAAATGCGTAACAAGAAAAGGAAACCTTTACCTCCTTTACCAGATAATTTTACTGGGAAAGCCATATCCTATTACTTTAATACACATAATATTAATCTCGCTGCGTATAAAGTGCGACGACGCTATAATTTGTCCAGCATCCCTGATTATAAATTTGGTTACCTCAAAGCGATCAGACGTTATGGCAAATATCAAAATCGTTTACGTTCACCCCCACCTCCAATAGTTGAGGACAAGACCATTGATACTAATACTCAACCTGAAGCTACTTTTTTTTCAGATAAACTTATTTCGAACTCCCATAGAGCACATTTTGCTCGTTCTACTCCTACTCTACATCAATATCCGTCTCCGCCTAAACCTGATCCTCTCAAATGGATCAAAGATGGTGATGAAAGACCCATCAGGAAACCAAGAAAACGAAGAACTATACTTCCGCCCACACCTGGGCCTGACCAATAATTGGAATATTTTTCCTCATTAGTTTACTTAGTTTCTACTTTTATTTTTTACTATATGTAAAACAATCATGGACCTTTGTAACGTATATTATTTTGTATATGACAGTATTTACATACAATAGCTAGTTTTAGTTAAAAGAAAAATACGGATGATAGATTTGAACTCCCTTTTTAGTTTTGTTCGTCCTTGATATCATTGGGTTCATTGGTTCCTTTCTAGTAGGGGAGGGGATCATCCTGGTTCGTTGGATTTAAAGAAGTTCGGGTCCGTCCTCGGGGGGATGATAGCTAGAAGTAGGATAGCACGGTTACGTATATGTCCTGTTAATAGTCTGTCCGTCTTCACATAAAATAAATAAATAAATATAGATACGTTAATTTCATCGTAAGCGAAGTCCCGGTCCCATATTTCGCAAGTTGGTAGTGTAGGTATGATGTAAGGAGAGGCCAAACTTTCCGGTGAAGGTTTCCGAGGGCCTAAAGTGAGTGTAGATATTTCTCTCAGAAGTAGAGGAGTACTTTTCGTCGACGTCCATATAAATTGATTCGTTCATTTCCTTATATTATGTAGATCATTTCAAGAGTGTCGAGTAAGTAACCAATAAAATCATCAAAATAGTTTTACGTCATTACAGACGCAGTACAAAAAAAAAACAAATTTTACACGTTAAAATAATACTGCGCCCCAAAATTAATAATTTCATTAGGTAACTTCGGATCCTACAGGCTACAGCGCCTTATGCTTGAAATCGCCTTGCACGGTAAACCACCACCTTGCATCACAACATTAAAGGGACATTTAAAATATGCACTAAAAATGACTGTGCCAAACCAAATGAACCCAAAGTAAATGAAAGGAAAAACAAATAAGAAAGGAAAAATACCAAACAAAACTACCATCAGAAAAGTTTTTTACCACTTCCACCAACGCACCACTTCGAAGTATACCTTCTTACCACGCGCACACCCTCACTTTCTCGTCCTCATTCTACCAAAAGCCCATTTTCTTTCGTCCAAACCGACCCTTTAACTTCCAAGTACTGATGTTCCAATGTAACTTCGTCTCTAGAGCTAGCCAGGGACCGTTTAAAACCGCTTTCCTTGTTTCAAAAGTCAAAACCACAAGTAAATAGAAGCCAAAACTTTTCATTACGAGGCCTTGAAAAAATTCTGCACTTGATGTGCCCTCTACATAATACAAAAACTTGTTAAATAAATACATGTATTAAGGTGTTTTGTGTCAAGGAATCGATTTTCAAAGAAAAAATGAACGTTTAAATAGGTTAGAATGTTGAGAAAAATGAAAGTTAATGATCTTGGGAAGTCCGTGTGAAAAATGGTTAACTAAGGCTTACCAGACGGACCTTTTAAAATGAAATGGAAAAAAATATATCTTTAATCATTGTATATGTATAGCTATAAAAAAAGTCACTCCAAATCTTATTAGTAGATTCCCTACCTCATGATGGCTTAGGTTTCTTGTAATCAAACTAAGCGATAATTATTTATTTTCGAAACCTTTGGAACAGTATATGGGCAGACTTATAGCAAAAGGTGGGGCTCGAACAATCACGTGATTTCGAAAAAAATCGAACTTTAATATTATTGGTTAATTTTAATATATTATCAGTTATAATTATTCCATCATTTTTAAAGATTTTTAAAATCAATTTTTTGCAAACTAGGGTAAAATTTTGCAAGGAATTCATTAAAAGCATTAGTTTTTTTCTAGAGCATCTATGTTATTTGTTAAATGCAATAATAGAAAAATACAAAATTTGCAAATTCTTAAATAAAAAATTTTTTTATTAAGCAAAATTTTTTTTTTCTAAAAAGTTAAATAGAGTAATATATAATTAAAATAAAATTTCAAAAAAAAATTTTTGGCCAAGCCCCCATTTTGCTACAAGTCCGCCCATATATAATTATAATTACTAGTAAACAAATAATTCTGACAGAATTTAGTAATATTATCTCACGCACGAATGTTCAGCTCTCATTTATGTAGTCTCATTATATCATTGCCTCATTGGTGCATCATATTTTTTAATTTTTTTAATTTTTCCTTTTTAAATTTTTTAAATAGAACGTTTTATTAAATTTAGAGTTAAAATAAAAGGTAATATACAACTCATGCATGAAGTTCAGTTATATAAATTCTGATATGGATTTTATAAATACAGTGACAGTGAGTTTTGATGATTTTTTTTCGCTTTTGGACTTTTAACAGTTTACAATAAATAAAATGGAAACAAATTCAAATTAGGTAATAAAATATATGTAAATATAAATAATTTGATAATTTAAGATTATCAGGCTTGTATTATGACATTATATATAGCACGGTAGTTCTTCATCTGATGACTTTATAGAATTCAGAAAGCCACTGCTTGAAAACACTTCTAACAATTGTATCGTTCTTGAGTTAGAAAAGAATGGAAAAGCGGCGGTAATAACTTATTAAAAATTTAACTAAATTAAAATGTCTCTTCTCCTAAATTACTTTTAGAAAACCAACTTAATCAGTTTTCACCTTAATTCTTTAGTTATATTGGTGGATTCAACATCTAATGATTATTATGAAAAACAGAGTGTGATTAGATTAGAGTTACATATATATACCTTGGTCGCAGTATTAGAATAAATTTGCGTTACGTTGAGTAAAGAACTTCAAGATAAAGTTTAACAAAGTTCAACAGAGATTCATAAAAAAGAAAGTAATACAAAAACGAATTTATAATAATTATATATCTGGTTTTAACAATTCAATCAACTACAGAATAAATAAAGGTAATGAAATGTATTAATAAGCGAAACTATAACATTGATTTCTTATTAATTTTTTTACAGGATACATTGCCGACATAGTTTGCATGATGATGAGATTTGGTTCCAAGAAAAGAGCTGCTTAAGGTTATTTCAAATATTATAGCAGGCGATAATAGCAATCGGAGTTACACTTCAAAATGAAAATTGTTCAATCTTATCAATGCTTAATCAATTACGTAATAGCTCAAAATTTAAAGTATCCAGTAGCGTTATATTATGTGGATTGGAGAAGTATTGGAGATAATAAAATATTGCAATAAAATAATGAATAATAATGGTACATTTTTCATTTAATAATTTTCGGGAAAACGCGTTTATGATGTCTCCATGTCGTTAACGGTTGCAAACTACAGCGGTTAGTACGAAGATTTACTATAAGTAACTTAATAAAACAAATTTAAATCTAACAAATGGAATATTTTCATTATTATTTCTATAATGAGCATAAGCAATTAATAAAATAAATTCATTTTCGAAAACGATTGATTTAATGTTATTTCTTATTCATTCTTTTCATTTTATTTTAAAATTACCTTTAAAAAAACATTAAAACTGTTTTTAAAAAACAAACATTTCATTAGTCAATTAATTTACTATCTTACCTATAAGTAAATCACTTTTCTAAAAAATATTGTATGCTTATTGTGGTCTTTTTAAGTACGTGGTTTTGTAATTTGTCTTTCGTATTTATTAACATTAGTTATTAAATTTTTAGCATCCTTGAACTTGTCTGAACTGCTTTGTGTTCATCATTTATTAAAAATATTTTCTTGTGCTTCTGCAATTCTCAATGTTTTCACGTACAGTAATTTTTAATCTTTATTTAAATGATTGTAATCATCGTCACTCGTTGAATTTACAATTGTAAGTTAGGTAGATTCATCATTACATATTCATTTTATTCGTTACATTATTTAATACATTATCTAAAAAAATTAAAAATGAATTATTTTGTTAATATTAGAATTAGGGATGGCAACGGTCGGTCATGGTCGGTCATCGGTCGGTCATAACCGGTCAAGAACCTTTGACCGACCGACCGACCGTTTGACCGACCGGTTAACCGACCGTTTGACCGACTGGTTAACCGATCCTGAAAACGTTTGCGAAACGTAATTTAATTGAAATACTTAATAAAAAACGTTTTCGCAACGTTTTCTATTAAAATAATTAAAAAAACGTTTGCAAAACATTTTTTTTATTAAATTACGTTTCGCAAACGTTTTCAGGATCGGTTAAACGGTCGGTCAAACGGTCGGTTAACCGGTCGGTCAGACCGGTCGGTCAAACGGTCGGTCAGCTGTCTCTTATACACATCTAGATGTGTATAAGAGTCACGGTCATGACCGGTCATAACCGGTTAATGACCGTGACCGTTGCCATCCCTAATTAAAATGCATAAGATATTTATTTACTATTTACCATTGTTTGGACTATAGAATGGATATTGAATTGATTCTTCAGCTGCTAAAAATATATAACTCCGTGTTCATGTCGCAATTACTTTTTCGTTACATTTTAACGCATTACAGAGACGAAACACGATCTGTTAACATATCCATATCATAAAGATTCTTTTAAACCGACAAAAAAAGTGGAAGTTTCACTACATGGAGAATAAATTACCATTTCCTTGACTTTTTGAAATAAGGACATATTCATAGTTTAGATCCCTGTTGGACCAGATTTATGCGGAACCTTGATTGGAAGGGGAAGTTTAATTTATGTAGTACGTAACCGTTTATCCGAAATCACAATCATGTGATATGTGATAATCATGTGATCACTATTTAGATACAATTTACAAATGGTTACTCCTGAGTCAAAAAATTCAAAGATTCGTTCTCGATCATTGTGATAGATTAATATTCACTCAGTAGCTTGTTAGGTACCTGCACATCTGTTCTGGGCTGTTGCTCTTTTGACGAATCGCCTTATCACGATACGTCTGATTGCCCATCATTGTATACGAAAGGTGATATATTTTGGAGGTGATATGATTATTAATGTCTAGTTTTCTAATTATAGAACAAACCTTACCGAGTTATTTATAAACAAAAAAAATTTTTTTGTACCCTCAACATCATACCATGATAAAGAAAGCAAATTTCAATCAAAATTTTGAGATTACGTGTTCATGTTGATCTTTATCGTTATTGTTTGTACTAATTTGGGAAAATCATTTGCTATTAATTTGGAAATTCATTCAAAGTCAAATATCATTGTTATTAAAAATTTCTTTTTGTTTTTTTTCTTGAAAAAGAAATTTTTCACTTGCTTATTTTTAATATTTTAAGACGAAAATAAAAAGAATATTCCTTTCGTAACATTATTTTCAT